TGCTTAGTAGCTTCTGCTTCTTTCTTCTTTGTGTCATCTTCTTTTTCATATTTCTATTTCCCTTCTCTTTGTCTCCTTCTTTCTTTTCTTCATTTTCTTTTTCCTTCTCTTTGTCTTCCTTATCCTTTTCTTCATCTTCTTTTAGCTTCTCTTCAAGGTGCTCATGGTTGTAATCATCATTTTGTTCACTTTCTTTTTCAGGTTGGTACTTGAAGTTCCTCTCATCAAACCTGACATCTCTGGTTGCTGTTACAGTATCCGTTAAAGGATCCCATACTTTATATCCATTTCTTCCATATCCTACTAGTCTCACTTCCTTTGCTCTTGGGTCTAGCTTGTCTCCTCTTGGTAAAATTATCATCCAGCCTTTGCAACCAAAAGGCTTTAACTTATTAAGCATCATGTTTCTCCCGAATATTTCAGCAGGTATTGCAAAACTTATAGCACTTGAAGGCGAACGATTAATTAGAAATGTTGCTGTCAATACCGCATGTCCCCACAGATGTTTTGGTAAGTTTGAGTCATTTAATATGGTTCTTGCCTTTTGTAATATTGTTCTATTTAGTCTTTCACTTTTGCCATTCATTTGAGGACTATATGGCAAAGTGTATTCCATTTGTATCCCTGTTTCTTCACAAAAGCATTTAAGTGTGTTGGATGAATACTCTCCTCCATTATCACATCTAATTCTTTTTATTTTTGTATTATGTTCTCTTTCTATTTCATGTACATATTTTATCAAATTTTCTCCAGCTTCTGATTTATTTTTCAATAAGTAAGTTTGAGTGAAATGAGAATAATCATCAAGTATGGTCTGGAAGTATCTATAGCCTTCATTTGTCTGTGTTCTCATAGGTCCTGCTACATCTGAATGTATAAGATCTCCAATATGTTTTGATTGCTGTTTAGATATTCCTTGAAATGGTAATCTTGTAGACTTGTTCTTCATACAAATATCGCACATTTTATCACTAAACGGCAGGTTCATAATTTTTAAGCATTTTCTGTTCATATGTCCTAAGCGCAGATGCCATAGGTTTTCATTTTTATCACTTTCAGAGTAATGACAATTATAATTATCACTGTCAGGTAAGTCAAACTTCAATGTATATAGTTTTCCTCTTTTAACTCCTATGTATTCATTCTTCTTTGATTTTATTATTAATTCTCCATTTTTGAAAATTACCTGTTTTCCTTTTTTCATAAGCTCATTAACCGATAATAAGTTATGTGCGATCCCATGAACTATTAAACCATCCACTGTAATTTTTATTCCTCCATATGTGGCTTTCAATACTCCTCTTTTGTATGCAGTAATATTGTCTCCGTTTGCTATTTTGATATCAATTGGTTTTTGAAGACTTTCAACATCCACTAAGAATTTCTCATATTTACTTTGAATAAAGTTGTGTGTCGCTCCTGAGTCTATTACGAATACTATCTTATTTTCCACTTTTTCTTCTTTAATATGTGTTGTCAATGCCACAAATGATTCACCTTCTGTTTCTTCACTATAATTAACTCTTGAATTATTCCTTCCTCTATTGAACTTTCCTCTATATTGAAATCTTCCTCTTCCTCTCGATCTATTATTTGAACCTCTTCCTCGACTGTAGGTCGGTTTCTCATCTTTATTGCACTGGTATGCCATGTGCCCTTCCTTACCACACTGATAACAGGTGAGGAAACAGTTTTCTACTTCTTCTTGAGATTTTTCTTTTAGTTTTAGTTCTGAATCTAGTAACCTTGACTTTGCAAAGTCCATTGTAATTTCTTTTTCATTACTCATAGTCTCTAATGTTGTGATGACTGTATTATAATCCTCAGGCAAGGTGAGAAACAGGTGAGTTAGTTTATCGCTTTCCTCCACTTTAGATCCAGTCGCTTCCAGCTCTGCAATTAGGTTATCAAATTCTAGGAAGTGGTCTTGGAGATTTTTACCTATGTGACACTTCATAGCTAGCAATTTTTTTACGTAGATACAGCTTATTAAACACACTTTTTCTTTCGAAAACACTTTCTAGGGCTTGTAGCATTTCCGCCGCCGTGCTGCATCGCTTGACAATATCAAGATATTTGTCTGTTATGCACTGTACTATAATGGATCGCGCTTTTGCGTCCAATGCTCTGTCTTCTTTGTTTTTCAAATCGAGTGAAGTCAATACCGATGCAAAATCCTTTTCTTCTAATAAGATTCTTACTCGAAATTTCCAGTTAGCAAACGCCACACCTTCTTGCAGTTTTGGATAATTACAAGTTGTCGAGCTCATATTTCTTTTTCACTTGATGAACCACGCTCTGCTGTTAATTATTGATGGTGATCTCTTCAGTAAAACATCTTCTATCATAATAATTCTCATTTATTATACGCAAATCACACAGAAACTTTTGGAGGCAAAACGAGAGCGGGAACAGATTGACAGTTGTCACAAAAAGGTTGCGTTCCAATACTTGCTCAGTTAGGTACTTAAATATAATTATAACTCAACATGGGCTAGCCAGAACCCACGGGTTTGGGCCCTCCGCTGTGGGTAGGGCCGCGCATGTGCTCATGCGTGCGTTTAACTACGACATGTCATCTAAGGGCCATCGAAGTTGCGGTGCGGACCGAGACCCCGATGGCCGTCGACTGTGTTTTTAGCTAATCGGTGGCTGGGGGCGGTGAGAACCGCCCTGGAACGCGGGTGTACCTTGTGTACGCGTTGTGTTGGTCTCGCCGTGCTCGGAGGCTAGGGCGAACTAGTGTGTTTGTTGTTGCACAAACTGTGGGTGTAGTGTTGTCCGGCGGGACCCTCGGCGGTGGGTCCGGCGTATCTAAGTCCCCTTCCTCGACCGGGTCGATGAGGACGTTTTCGCGGGCGACGCTTGTTGACGTTCGCGTTTGTGTCGGGTTGGTAATTTGCTGCGCTTACCACCAGAGGGTTGGGATGATATTCGGCTCTATCGAAGAACCGTTTGGTCAGGTCTTTAAAATATTCGCGAATCGTCGGGAGTCTGCAATCGCTGTGCAGATCGACGTTGCGTTGATACCACTGCGCACCAGTTGCACGGCGGATGAACTTATTTTGTACTATTTGCAGCTTGTACAAGCGAGCGAGTAGGGTGCGTGTGGGCGAAGATCATGCATGCGTAGGACATAATAGGTCGTACGCAGGTCTTATATAATAATAATTTGTGCCTTAAGGGCATTTTACTTTTAGCGTTAGTTAAATTGTGTAGCCGGCCGGAGACGAACGCGGCTCTATTACGAACGTTAATAATGTGCGTAGTAAATGACATACGCGAGTCGAAAGTGACTCCTAAGTATTTGACCTTTTTCTCCCAGGGGAGCGGTTGGCCATAAAGGGATATTTGCCCCAACTTTCTGCATCGACGAGGACCATTATAAAGATGTGACGGGTAAGTACTTCGTGTGAAGTGAATCGCTACACTCTTTTCGGGATTTATTTCTATTCTCCATTTGCGGAACCAGTCGCCGAGGCGGTCGGCGGCGCTTTGGAGTCGAGTGGTTAGTTGTCTAAGGTTGCGGTCTGAATAAAAGAGCGACATGTCATCCGCGAAAAGCGCGAGATTGACGTGGGGGTCTTTAGGTATATCGCTCGTGTAGAGCGTAAAGAGCAAAGGTGAGAGGCAGGAGCCTTGTGGTACGCCGGCCGTGAGGCGGCGGCTTGTGGAGAGGGTGCCTTCAACTCGATATCGAAAAGAGCGGTTTGACAGGAAGGCCCGGATGGTGTGTACGAGCCTATCTGGCACTTTGGGTGTGTACAGCTTGTAAAGCAAGCCGTTGTGCCAGACCTTGTCGAATGCTTTTGCGACATCGAAGAAAAGAGCCCCTGTACTAATATCTTTCCTCTTACATAGTAGGCGGAGTGGTTGGTGTTATGTTTTATTTTCGTTACGGAATTTCTTGATTCGGTCGCCGCGCTCAAAGCCCGCGATAAAAGTTATGCAAAAGGGGCTACCAAACAACAGACAGACAAGTTTCGTCTGGTGAGTGAGGTAGACGGAACCCACTTCATTAATAGTTGGCAACGTATCCGCAATAGTACAGGTGTTGCTGAATGGGCGGCGGTTATCACTCAACATCAGGTGAACCGCCAGCTCACTTGCCGTCTCCTCACGTAAAAGAAGATAAAAAACACCGAAATCAATGTATATTCCAAGAAAAGCTATTTAATCTTCAAGGAGTAGAATTTTCTCTTCAGATCTGGCTTGTGGGACAACTTAGAGTAAATCTTATACATTTAGTTTCAGTGGAGTTTAAAAATAAACTATTGGTTGCAAACCAGCATGACGCAACATCTAGTATTTTATTTGGTTGTTCTAGTATTTCATTTTGTTTTAACCTTAAACAACAGTGAAGTGTCATCCGCAAGCAAAATGAATTGAGACTTTTCTACCGTATATGGAAAATCATTAGTACATATAAATTAAAAACAGTAAATTTACTCAAGATTAATCCAGAGAAACACCCATTTACCATTGACAATGATGAGACCATATACAATAAAAATAAGTTATAATATAATAAAAAATAAAGTCCAGTGGACAGGTAATTTATTAGAAATAAAGGCATGTTAGAATAAAATACTTTATTTAAGCTCACATATTTTTGCATTTTAGACTAAGAGCAGTAAATTAAAACTAAATAAATAGGTTTTATGGAGACATAATTTTAATGATTCGATTTCGCTAAATATTAAACCGCAGATGTATTATAAGTCATCTTCTACATTTATTGGTGTTATAACAAATAACTTAGAAATATATTTCAAATTATTATTAAAAAATAACTAAGAGACTCATATAATATGTTTTTTCTAAGTAGGTACTAAATCTGAACATTTGGTGCACCAATCAAAATATTTTTAACTCTATCGTTATACTGGTTACTCTTTATTCAGCTGATATAAATTTAATAGATCTACTGTTAAATGTTAGTAACAGTTTATTGTTTGTAACATTCCGGAAGCTGTATACAAAGCCTTATATTTAAATTAGAAGTGACATATCACATCGTCGCGAGCAGTTTTAGCGTAGATAAGCACGATCTGTTAATTTTCAATATAAAATACTGACATATTATGATAGTAGAGAGTTTATTACCTGTGATTATTTACATCTTCAGCTTCAGCTTTTGTATAATAATATTTATACAAAAACCTTTTAATACAAAATTTGAACTCATTTCATATAAATTCCGTGACTAGTTTAATTAACCTGCGTACAAATTTACGGAGTTATAATTTTCGTTGTATTTCTTTATTTCTTATTTTCATTGCAATAATGTTTTATATACTGATGTGTAAGGTTATATACAATTAAAAAGAAACACAGGATTGCGGCATGGTAATGCATCGGCATGTTATATATAGCGCTTAATACTCCCGGATGTTTTACTTTGACACTGTTTAACTTGGTTTTATAAGATTTGGAATACTCATCGATATGAGTAGAGATAGCAATGGATTCTTTTGCAAGACTATTTTTATTTTCATCGTCAGAGTGACTATTTGTAACGTTGTCTAGATTTTTTTCGGAGAACTGAATCTCAGTCTCTTCGTCTATTTTATTCATTTTAGTATCCTCGAATGTCAAATTTGCCTCCCTTTCTTCATTTAATTTAAAAGATTCGGACTCTTCCTGCACTGAAACATCAGAACATATTTTTAAACTTTCTTGCAAGTAACTATCGATTTTTGTTAAATGTTCCGGTACTGAGAAATTTGCCAAGGGGCTATGTGATCTTTTGAAAGGCTCATTGGTATCAACACCGATGTGATCCAAACTTTTATCCCGAAAACTGTTTAAGCTGTCAGTATTGGGAGTCCAATTTTCTTTTAATAATGAGTTTACTATTTTGTAACTCTGTAAATCTTCAAAATCGTTCTTGATTATCTGAACTGGTGTCGTTGCACGATTCATCGCCAGCTTGGGTCCGAGCTGTGGACCGTCGATTTCCGGGGGAACTGGGGTAAATTTAACTTTAATGACATCTTCATTTGTAATCGTTTCAGTTTTTACAATGTCATCGATGTATTCCTTATTACCGTGCAATCCGATGCTTTCGGATGTACTTGGTGAATCGATTACGTCGCGACGCGTGGAGCTGTGCACTCGATCAACTGTAACTTTGCTAAGTAATTTACCATCAGAGCTTCGTATGTCGGAAAACAGCCCTCCCTCAAAGTGGAGGGGCGTTTCTAACTTTCTCGTTCTCTGAGGTGGAAGAGAATCAGCCTCGTGCTGCGTGGGCGGGGAAAGGGAGACGGGTCGGAAAACAGTAGTAGAGTAAACAGTGTCAGAGTTATAAATTATCCGCCCAGGGTTGTTAACGGGCGTGTATCCTGCAATATGGTCGGCCTCCTCTGGCGAAGAAGCTCTGCCCTTCGAGATTCTTCTTGCATACCTGAAAGAATAGTTTAAGTAGACAAGATGGCATATGTACTCTTTAAAATGACAAATCGTTTTTATCATTAGTAACTACTTTAAAAATACTGTTAAAAAAATGACCCCTAGCTTATTTTATATTATTATTCAATTACCTCAGTTAAAATTGTTAACGCAAAACTGGTCAATCGTTGCTAAAATTGTCTTCACAATAAAAAATTAATACTGTATTCAGATGTGAATAATATAACAAAGTATTCGTGTACAGGTATTGTTTTATAATGATGTAACCTTAACATGATTGCACTAAAAACATATAATATTGTAACATACATAAAATAGCCAAAACATGTCTACTTATTTAATATATATTATCACTCAACTCTAAGCATTTGTCTACAAGCAGTAGCTCTGGTAGGGTAAACTAAATTCTACAACACAACATAACCTTCTAAGAATCTCTGGAAGGTTCATCAATCTTCAAAACTGACATATACATACAAATACAAACAAGCTAATTTTCTAATCAATACAAGGATTCGGAGGACACACTTTTTAACACGCACACAGTGTACAATGGTTAATCTGGAAAAACTTCAGTGTGGGAGCGTATGACGGGCTTTGTAAAATTAAATGCGCGAATTTATATGTTTTTTTATATAACGTTCATTCAAAGTGGGCATTTTGATGATCTGTGTGATCGATTTATTCGACGGGATGGGACTGAATTATTTGGAGATGTTGCATGTTCTTTCAACAACTCTAAGGATATAAAATGCTATGACCATTTTAATGATGTGGAATAAAATAATATGATAATTTACGCAATAGCGTAATTTTTATTTACGTTGTTAATAAACAATTATCTCAGTTTTGACCATTTTACGAAATTAAAAAAGGGGAAATTTTTAACTTGTTCCTCTAAACTATTAAATTATCTGTGCGTCCTCATAACCATTACAAATTAAAGACTTTTATTATCATTCTGTTTATTTACGATACATGTACACGTCAAGTGTAGATTATCAACTGTATTTATATTAGTAGGCTCGCATCATACGCACCGTGCAGTTGAAGCACTGACTGTGGTAGTTATTGTTGAGCGCCTCGACCCACCTGTCGCCCGCCTCCACGGGGAATCCGCAAGCGAAACATTTTGTTGTGAACAGCTCATTCCAGTCTGGAAAATTATAAACGGTGGCAATGTGCATTCTGTTTTTAAAACATTTATTTTTACTATTCCATATTACCATATAAAAGTACGATAGCACGGGGCTAACAAAAGGCGAATTACCTGCTTCACAATATGGCAAACCGTCCTCTAAGAAGAACGGATTGTTACCAAACAACTTGCCGCAATATACGCAGTTGAAGCATTCAGGATGGAAATGTTTGCCGATGGCATTCAAACAGTCCTGCAAACAATAAATCAGTTTTATATACGTGTCAAACTAAATTTGTTGCATCTTTTGAGGTATTACAATTAACGGGTAAAAATTTTAAAAATCTTATAGAATGTTTCCTCTATCTTTATGTAGTATAAATGAAAATTAAGTGGCTATAAGTTGCCAAGCGCATCATACAGATTGACCAATGATAAATTGTCATAGACTAAATTATATTTTTAACTTAAAGTTAAACTTCAATATATGGAGGAAATTTTTGAGAATTAGGTTAAAATAACATAAATACACTGTGCCGGCCGGCGTGGAGTAGAAGTATTATAATTTCACGTTTCTGCTGAGTAAGACAACGGAATTAACTTTTTTTAAAAGTGGAAACTCATTTACAATACTAGTGTATTGAAGATGTCCATGACCGGCTGTATTCATTTAAAATTAGCCAAACCGCTTGCCCGCTTACCAACTTTTAACATAAAATTAATATATGATTTTACTTCTCATTCGGTTACATCGCGTACAGTACACACATGGACATATGTTTGCTAAACTGTTGGTAATCCAGCACTTTAGCGGTGGTCTACCAATAAAGATAATTTCGCATACAACATTTTCCATTGAGGAACTTCTGAATAAAACCATCCTTAAATTGAGAATATTCATCACTACAGGCGTTAAATATACAAAGATCACTCAGTAATATCATATTCTTGTTTTTAGTTTGTTTACACATCAATATTAGATTTTCATACAACGATAACAAATTAATAGTATTGTGCAGAGTATGTCAGTCGGGTCCAGCTTACTTAACACTGTAATAATGTATAAAGTTTTTTTGATGACTCCGTGGCGCATTTGCCAAGGTATTGGCTTCGGCGTCGGGGGTCGTGGGTTCGATTCCCACACGGTACAACTATTTGTGCAACCCACAGACAGTTGTTTCGCATCTGGGTGTTTGTCCTCGTGCTATTTATGTTTGTTAAACGTCCTTACAACACAGGATAATGTTATCCTAAAGTGAGGGCAATGTAAAAAAAAATAAAAAAAAATGAAAAAGAAAGTAAAAGTTATAGGTAATCATGTCATAAGGATAGTTCATAAAAATTACCCGTAACCTGTGTCGAATGAGGTGTGTCAAGATCGTAATAAAGAAAAACACGTTATAACGTGCTGTTCGGGTTTACTCGTATGTACACAAATAATAAGAAAAACTTACACCCTTGATCTTGGCGTGACATTTATCGCAAGCGGGCGCGATATATTGTTCGAAACAAAATTCGCAGTATAGCTGGCCGTTTTCCTCGACGAACCCGATGTCCTGAAGTTGACGGCGACACGTAGCGTTCACGCAAATGAAGTGTTCCGGACACCAAATGCGGCCTAAAGCCGTTATGAACGGACCCCTGCATACATGACAGAGGTTAAAATAAAACCATCACTACTACTTATGTTTTAATCTTTTTCGCGATAAATTAAACAAATGTTAAATCTCGAAATATTGTTAATGTTTTATTCTTGAATTAGTAAAGTCATGCTTCAACAAAAAAAAAACACAAAATGCAAGTCACGCAAATTAAGAATTGCTAATTCTTACTTTAATTTCTTGAGTTTATGTGGTTTAGAATTTTATCATTGACTTTACCTTGTTATTGCCTTGTCACATATGTGGCATACAGGGTACTGTCCTTCAGCTACATCGACCGATGTCATCGTACTTAATGGACGTGTAACAATGTGAGAATCCCTTCTACCATCATCATTAATACATTTCTTTTTTTCTCTGCGCTTTACCACAGTTTCTGTTTCTGTATTCTCTGCTTTTATTTCAGAATCATTATTCTGTATTTCAACATTGTCATTTTCTGTAGAATTTGTCTTCGTTGCTTTAGGCGATTTAAAGGCATATAGTGTGTTATCATATAAACTGCTTGGCAACTTTTTTGCATATTCTTCATCATTTTTCGTATTAATTTTATCGGTATCGGGAGATGTAGAAGATTTGCGCGATACATTTGTTTGACTTAGTTCTGGCACACTATCGTTAGTTTTGTTAATATTTTTAAACGTCTCCTCGGAGCTATTCAAGTCATCCTTTCTTTCAAAAATTTTTCGCTTATTTAAAGTATTTGAGTAACTATTGTCAGTTTTTAATTCCGTTTTATACAAATCTTGATTTAATGTATTCATTCCATCTAAGAAAGAAGATTTCTCAAAGTTCGTCTTTTTTCGTAATGTGTTACCATTGATTATATTAATTTCCGATTTTTCTTTATTCATTTCTTCATTACTAGAATGATTGCTTCCATTTGAAGATTTTTCAATATTATTTAGAGATTGTAGTATACTTAATGTTAATAAATTACTGTCAGAATTTTTAATAGGATAATCTGATGTTTTTTTCTGAGACTGTGGTGAGGATGAATTTAAAACTGATGTACTCGGCAAATCAAATGTTGGTATAGGAGTGTTTGGTATCGGCGGTGGAATAGGTGGATATCCATTATTAATATCGGCAGATAATCCTGGTGTTTTACATACATCATCCAAATTTTTGTTTATTGGCCTTCTAAGAGTATTTTCACGACTGTTGTGTTCTGGTGTTACGCTATCCGAATTAAGAGGATGTTTAGTTACAACAGTATCTTGAATTTTGTTCGCCATACTTTGAATGTGATCGGCTGGCTTTATTTTTCTTTGAATCCCTATTTCGTAGCCGTTTAATGCCATTTTTGCCATTTTCCTTATAAGTCTTTCTTCCGCTTGACTTTTGAACTCTGTTTTTACAGGACTGCCGTAAATCTGCGTTTCATTAACTGTTAGAAAAACAAAACACTAAAATAAATATTTTTTCAAAAGCCATGTTCAAAATTAGCCTGCAATAAAATACAAGAAACACGTTAAGTCAATCAATCTTATAACAACAACAATCACGCAATGTTAAAGTTAAATTGTATTATGAGGTAGGCATCATTTCTATTCATGCTCCACACAAATCAACAGGCACGATCTTTTTCTATCAAATCACCTAATATTCCCATTGCAGGAAGCACAAAGCGGTACGCGAGACCCTGGCATTACAGCTTTGTTCAAAACACCCCTGCCACGTTTAGGTGCCGACGAAACACCGAACGCTTTGCCTCGAGCGGCTCCTCCTACACTCGAACCTGTCGATGGGGTAGGATCACACACTGGACCTTGGTTAGCACCAGAATTTGAAGGAATTGGTTTATAAATTTCAGATTGTCTATTAGCAGTGGCAACATTTTCATTAGTAATATTAGAGGATACGTTTTTATTGGTGTCTTGCAAACTCATCATAGGTGGTGGAAAGACTTGTTTGGAGATGTTAGATGGCCTAATATTAGGTTCAATTTGTTGATATGAATCACAGGATTTAGAACCCCCCTTTTTTATTTCTATGAATTTGGCAGTTTGCATTTGTTCAAATTGCTCGTACGTTTCCTTCACAGTTTCCATAGTTGTATTGCCGTATTCAGTAATATTATGAGATTGTATTTGTTTTTGTGCGTAGTTTTGATCAAACATTGAATTCTCTCTGAACGTAACGTTTTCCTTGTCATCATTTTCTATATTATAACCTACATTCGTACTTCTAGATTCATTTATAGAATATGCTTGTTCGGAAATTGATGTTGTAAAAGGTTCATTCGGATTCACGTTATGTACATAATTTTTTTGCATTTCGTCGCTAACCGTTTTTAAATTTACAGACGTTTGCTGCTTCATTTGTTTCTGTGATACAGGATCTTTAATACGTGGCGCTTGAGCTTTTAAATTGCCAGCTTGTCCTGGAGATCGTGATCTTAGCATGGGTGTAGGAGAACGACTAGCATCGGTACTAGATGGTTCATATACCTGACTCTTCGGAGCCGTATGCTCTATTGTAACTAAATTCATCTGATAATGAGGAATAATAGGTGCTGGTTTATTAATCAAACTGGGTGTAGTTGGCCGACTACATACAGGAGAATCTCTTAGGTCTCTTTCATCCTTAACAGGTTGAAAAGACATTGCGATGTTTTCTTTTTGTAAATGTTGGTATTTACTTGGCTGAACACTTGTCTTGATTTTTGATTCATTTAATATAAATGATGGGTCTTTTGGCAATTCAGACATGACATTTGAGTGAGAAATCACTTCTTCGGAATTTTTGTGAGAATATGCGGTGTCAGTTATTTGAGAACTCGACAAAGGATTGGCAGATGTCGATGACAAAGTCTCATTATTACTTTGTTGTTCAAAAGAGCTTTGAGCTGTTTTGACTGATGAGAAACTATGTAAGTTACTACTAGTTGTTACTGCAAAGCTTTTAGATTCAGTTTTATCCGTCGTTATTATTTCGCATTTTCCTTGATTTGTTAGTGCGAAATTGGACTGTTTTCCTTCAGAAGACTCACGAATTGACTCCAATTCATCAGGTTTTGGTGGGGGGAAAATTTGTTTGGCTACAGGTTTAAAGGCAGATGGTTCAGAATGTGACTTTATTTCTTTTTTGTTTTGAGGGATTAAACATTGATTTGTTTCTGAAATTGCCGTACATTCTGAAGGTATATCTAATGATATTTCAGACTTAATATCTGATAATTTGGTTTGATCTAAAGATGTTGATGTATAATACGTTGGTATATTTGAGAAACGTAACGGACTGTAAGGTCGGTCTGGAGCTATTGTAAGAGCATCTCTAAGCGAGCCGCGTGGTAATGATGCATTTTGAACATTAGGTGAACTATCTTTTTTTGAATTTGTTGTTTTATGGGCCGTACGCCCAGCAGACATTGTCTTATTATCCGTTGCATCATAATGTCTCTTAGATGGTTTTGATGGATTTACGCGTTTTTGTTCCAAGTCATTTGAGGCTTTTGATTGACATTGTACGTTTGACAATTCTACGCAAGATAACAAGTCTGATCCTGGATTTGAATATACGGAAGAATACGGAATTTCTGGAGCAATCGTTAAATCTTTTGCCTTAGAGCTTACATCGATGTTTTTACGAGTTTGTTTTTCTTTTGACACAAATTGTAATCGATGCTCATGGTCATTTTTTAGTTCTTGAATGGTTTCACATTGTTTTCTAGGAAATTGTTCCAAAAATTTAGCTTGTGTGTTGGTATCACATAATATTTTTTTGTTGTATTCCAACATTTCTGATCCTAGGCTAGAAAATTGCTTTTCTTCTTTTATGGTCGTAGCTTGGTTAGAATGTGTGTGGATAAAGGCTTCTGTTCTGGAAGATTCTTCTTTAGTGCTGGCCATTGTTTTATTATTCATATAGTTTTCCATTGGATTATTTATAGATAGTTGAGCAAAATCTTTAGGATTAATTTGAGTCTCAAATACTGATATACTTTGATTTTGCGTAGAGGCATGCTTTGTAAAAGATTCCACACATCGTTTGGCTTCCTGTGTAATACCAGCTTGTGTGCTCTGAACCATCGATGCAGATTGAGAGGAAGCAGTTGTAGCTGTTGACATGGATGAAACATTCGAAGCAAATACTGAAGTTTGCTCCGTAGAAACTATCTCTGAACATTTTTGTTCATTACTAACACTCTCTGATTTTAAAGCATTATCTTTGTTTCTGATTAACAATTCTTTCTTTTCTGTCATATTCTCCATGCCTATAGTTTTCAAATTGTTACTTTGTATGTCATCATCAGGGGGGTTCGGTGGTGGAGGCCATACTATGCTTTTAATGTTTTGTGCTATTAGTATTTTATTATTAACAAAGGTAAAAAATGGAGGAAGAAAAAAATAAATGAAAGTAAACATTAGTCAACTTGAAATATTCAATGATTTTTAAAATAAAGTTTGCTTAACTGAAGTGTGTGCTTAAGTTCAAGTTGCGTATGAGTGGGAACGTTATCTGATATTCATAGAGATTCTGTACAAAATGCTTTATGACGTATGATTTTAGGATAGAAGTTATTTTAATGCTGAAACTAACGTTGGCTGCTTGCTTAGCGCATACACACTTTGCAATATACATTTGTACATAAGCTTCAAGCCGGTCAGCATCTTTTTATAAACCTGTTTATAAATTACCTTTAAAAATGGAAACTGGGCCCTCTGTCGAAAACAAATACAGTTTTATAATTATTCCTTTACTCTTTAGTTGCAGTTTTCTTAAACATATTAACCACAACTCAAAAAAAATATAATTTTAATAGGCTGTGAGATCTATTAGCGGAGAAATACTGAAGTACTATAGGAGACTTTCTTAAGACATAAAGCCTTTTTGCGTAATATATAAAGTCAAAAACGATATGCTAGCTGTTAGATGTACACACTCTGAATACACAATCTTCGGATTACATATATTCAAATGTAGTTAGATTGTGTCATTTAAATAGACTTCCATAGATATTCTGCATTCATTCGTAGTCGATAATAAAAAAATCTATTTTCTTTCGAAGTATAAATATAAAGTAAACCTATTTTTAAAGATATTTTTGTTGAACGATACTTTATCTTTAAATGAGAAGAAAGTTAACTTTTCTTTAGAACATATCTCCCAGCAAGGCAGATAACCGGCAGGTCCGGGATTGGTGTGGGAGATAATCAAAATTCCTGCGCTTAAATCTAAAAAAATCAAAAAATATATTCATAAGTGCAAGGTGGTTAAATGGCAAATGTGACTCGCTTACTGGGCGCAAAGGGGGCGGGGGCTGGTGTTACGGGGGCCGCGGGGGCGGGGGCGGAGGCGGGGGCCGGGGCGGCGACCGGCCTGGCGGGCGACATCGGCGCCGAGCGCGGCGACAGCGACGGAGAGTAGGCGGAGCCGAGCGACGAGCCGAACGGCTTCGGGCCCGAACTCGACAGGTTGCTCGAGGGCTGTTGACAACAGTACAATGACCGCATGTCAGGGATTATATCACACAAAATACAAACTAAATCGTTATCAACCGTCCATATAGTAGAAGTTTGTGCGATTGTCAGAAGAGTGAACTTCTCAATATGCAAGTCCTCATAATCAATATAATTTTAGGAAAAATCTGTCTCATCTGGTTGTGTCACACGGGTGAAGGTCCATCTCTCACGGGATATTCGACCAATAGTTATGTTAAGCAAAGTCAAGATAATGTTATTTATTTAATGTCGTATTGGCGTATACATGAAAAACCGCTAAAAAAATAGAGGAGAGGAGGAAGTTTGACAATGGTTTATATGTCAAATTTCTCCTTCTTTGTTAAGTCTTATTTACAAATTGAAAACGCAATAAGTAATTGATAATGCTATTTTTTTTAGATATTATTGTATAAGACTTGTGATTATTTTCCCTAAGCAACAAGTTCATTTTAACAATTAAATTAGAAACACATGTTCAAATTTTACTTTCACGGTATTATTAAAATTTGTAGAAAAAGACAACCAATAACAATTTTTGCCATTTACTTAAAATTCCAAGATATTTAGTTAAACGGTTATCAATTGCAATTAATGTCTTTTTCATTTCATGAACAAAAAGTACCGGGTAAATGGTAAGTATAGGGGTAAAACTTTTAGTTATTTTTCTTTTGTTACGCCAAAGAAGTATAACTTGGTAATTATTACGTGCAGTGCAGGGTTAACCACGTAGCAAGAGTAGCGATGGTACGGGCTCAGCGTGAAAGGGGCCCGTAACCCATTGCAGATAAGACTGTTTGAAATAATTAGAATTTTTTTCTTGCTTACGTGGTGCAGTGGTTACGTGCGTACATAAGTAAATTAAGAATTTATCCTTTACAACATAATTATTTGAATTAGAGAATAATGGTCGTACTTCACATGCAAATAATACTCACGCTAAACATTGACGACGAGCCGTTGGTGTAATTGTTTGTGGCCAGGGGAGGCAACGGTGTTGAATATGAGTTTGTTGGAATACGCCCGCCGCTAAAACATATTGCAACACTGTAGCAATGTTATTTTTTTTACATTTTATAAAGACGCGACCAGACGCTTATCAAATTTAAATCCATTTGTTTAAGTTAAGAAAATAAGTACATTACAAAACAAATACGTAAATAAGCTTTAACTTGCTAAAACCTTAGAACGAATAGAGAAATGTTATTGCTAATATCTCAATATAAAATACAATATTAGCTACTAATATTGAGACACTGTAATACTTCAATAAGGCAAGAAAATATTTAAAAAACGTCCTTTAATAATATATAGAAAGTTCGGTTCTAGAAGCAAAGCAAATATTGTCATTGAGATAATAATGAAGAATAGGGAACCTTACGGTTTATAAAAGTGGAGTTTCTAAAGGAAAGAAATACCAACGAGGAAATATAGTAAGAATGGAAAAAAAACTTACGGTGGAACGGTGACGGGCTCGAGATTGGGGGCGGGCGGGTTTTGGCGCGCCACAAGCTTCGCGTGGATGTCGCAGTAAAGCTTGCCATTGATATTGTAGTAGCCCTGGTTCTTTAGTGAGGAACCACACGTCGAGCACTTGAAGCACTCCACGTGCAGATTTTTGTCCTTGATGCGCACGAACACGCCGCTACGCGCAAACAAATCACTTATAACCTGTCTTTATTGGATGTATATACTTAAATAGTGATGAATCTTTGATGTGATGATTTTGTACAAACATGCTCACCAAATATCTAAGGCGACTCCATCATTCCGTCAGGCGGTTTACATAGGTGCGTGTCTAAATACGATGCAATCGAGTGATGGACATGCTGAGTCAGTGTACTATCTGCTTCGGTTTACAGTAAACTCACTACAATGTGTTTATTGGTGAATTATGTGATACTAATGAGATACGATGAAATATAATGTGCAGCGGTTAAATAGCGCTACTATCGACAGTGGAAAATCGTCGCAATAGTTGCGCTAGCCCGTCACGGTGTCCCGAGAGGGGCCGCCGCGACGGGGCGAACACAGAGCGTGACTACTTCAGCTACTTCACAGTCCGACACGGTTGCAACACGGCAAGGCATTCGAGGAGCCAGGCCCCGGCTCTTACATAATGCGGTGAGTACACTCGGAGCATAGTGGTGTGTCGGTGGTGACGGTGAGGGCGCGCTGGGCGCTGGCGGCCGGTTGTTGGGCGAGCGGCAGGCTGGGGCGGTGCGCCGGCGCGGGTGCCAAGTAGCGCGGTGAGGGGGCGCGCCGATTGGCCGTCGCCCGCGCACCCTCTACGCGCGGCGTGTGCGATTGCGCGTGCGTCGCGCGCAGCACGCTCGGCGAGCCGGCGCGGCCCACGCTAGCGCGCGAGTAAAACCGACACGGCTCTGCCGACCCGCAACAATCACACCGCTAAATCAAACCATTTAACCGCACCGACGACGAGCGCTACGAATGAAACACCCCCCCAAACTCGAAACCAGTCAGGCACAACGCAGAATCTTATCCGTGAACGAGGGGGCGCCGCGCCATGTTTGCAACCGTGTCGGGCCGCGGTCGTCCGACTTACGTAATGAGCCTCTCGCACTCCTCGCAAATATTCTGGCCCGGCGGCAGGCCGCCCGTGTTCAGGGGTGCGTCCGGCTTGGTCACGGGCGCGGTCACGTGGCGCAGGCCGGTCACGGGCGCGGGCGCGGGCGCGGGCGATACTGGCGCCCCGCTCGCTTCTACTTCAGGGCCGATTTGGACGTTTAGAGTTAATTTCGAAAATAGTTACACAGTAATTCTGGATGTTGACTTCGACGTTCGTTTCGAAAACATAGCAGGATAAAAATGTCCATATCCATATGTGAAGTGAACGTACGAATGATCTGCAATAATGGTCATGGTTCGACATACCTACGTGATTTATTGAAAACCTGAAAGTTTTATAACTAAAGAGTTACTTTTATAACTAAAGAGGTTTTACCTGGTTCAGGGTCGTTTTGCTCCTCCTGCAGTACTTTGAATACGGCACTCTTTTCAGCGTCATACGTCTTCTCGTTCTTTTTGAAATTGACTCTGGGATTAAACGAAAAAGAAATTAAGATTAGCAAAGATATTAAAGTAAAAAAATTATAATAATATCATATAATAATAATATTTTCATTTAATTAATCATTTTTGAGAAAAGCAACAAAGTTGAATCTTTTAAGGTACCATTTGCACGACACACATGGACATGGAGAATTCTCTTGGTATGTAATAATAGAAAAATAATTGGATTCAATAAATATATACAAAAAAAGTTAAAAATTTGATTAAAAAAGTACCCCAAGACGCCGCCTGCCAGCACTTCGGTCTGCGCGGATAGGGTCTCTGCAATCGTCTTGTCGCTGTACATACTCACAGGCGAATTGTATTGTTTATTACCAATGCCGTTGCCGTTCATCTGTAAACAGGTTTTTTTCGTTAGTAATTCAAGTTCTATGCGCTTCATTGTTGTAACGTTATCATATCGGGTGAGGAAAAAAATGCGTCTTTAAAACAATTTTAATTTTACTTTTTATCATTAAGTAAAATTTGTTGACATGTAACGAGTTTCACTTATGCAATTAAATAGCATTTATGCAATTGATTGGAAATGGAAATGATTTATTTACTCGCATTGGCTTGTGAGCGACTCATAAAATATATATTCTCTAAAAAAAATACATTATCAAATATAAAGTACAATCATTGCAGTAGTTGCCATAAAAAAAGGCAAAAGCAGATAATATAGTGTTGCCGAAGTTTATATAAATAAACATTTATAATACAAAACGCATGGTCTCTGTGTGTTTGATTGCTGGCGAGCTTAATCATACTTTTCGGCCCGCCCGATAACATATTTGTCGATTGCCTTGCATTTGTTATTTTACTACGTGATGATTACGATAACATTACGATAACAATGGTTCGCGTTATTTATTGTACGTATATCCACGCTGAGATTCAAATTTTTCGGCATCTACCCGCAGGGACAAAGGGTCGAGAAAGCTGGTAATATAGAGTCAAAGTAGGCGAGAAAGCTTATAAGATAGACGGAATACAGAGTGGTACATACGTAGCCGAACGGCTTGGCGACGCTGTTGTGGCCGGAGCCGAAATTGCGCGATGGCTGCGGCGTCGCCTTCAAGGAGGTGGTGGTGACTGGCGCTGGCGCGGCGCCCAGAGGCCTCGTGCCAGGTCGCGGCAGGCTGCCTGTCGGGGTCACCGTGGGCCGCCAAGTGCCACCGCCACTGGGAGTGAAATAAATAATGAATAAATAATAACAAATTTTGCACAGCGTTCCCTAGTCCCAAACTAAACAACACGTACTGAACATGCCTTTTCTTTTGTAAAGACATACATGTTATACACCTATAAACGCCCAGACACGTTCACGCCACCGTTAGAAAAACACCATGTTCATCACACAACATTTTTCCAGTAGTGGGGATCGAACGTCCACCCTCTGGCGCAAGAGGCAATTCATTACTCCCTTCGCCCATGGGGTCGCCAAAAATTTAATGTTTTTAATACATGTGTATAAATTTGTAATAATAATGTATAAATTTCAATTGGCTAGTTCAACCCGCTCCTGAGAAAATGAGTGGTGATAATTTACCAATTTTTATTATGGCGGAATAATGGAAAAAGAAGAAATTATTTTTACACGTTGCGCACGAAATGTTAATATAAGAAAGGACAGCGCCAATACTCAGCACAAATTTATTCCAACCGGTTCTATTTTAGCCGTTGTTATTAAAAATATAAGTCTAAATATAAACTTTCAAGAGCATTTAAAGGTAACAAACAAGTTCGCCGGGGTGCTTTAACGCGCGTTATAATTTAGAGCTGAAATCCAGGACTCGAGCCAGCTTATCGTCAGTAGCTGGCTGAGTCATTACGTATTGTGCATAATAAGATACGAAAACAATTCAGCGAAGCGCATAATTGAAATCGAGGAAATCACAGTTAAATATAGTTAAATTGTTTGAGATGAAAAAGCTAGGCGCTACTCTACTGTGATCTATAACAATGAGTTAATCGTAGACAACAACACTGGATAATGCTGCGCTGTGTAGCTTTAAACCACCCGAGTCGTATTACCATCGCTTGCTATAATTATTGCATTACTATAACTTAATAAGAACCTACTTGATAGTTTATTATTAGCAGTGTGAGCGGTAATCACTACGTGTGCATCGTTAAGAGGAGCGGATCTTATAAACCTGTTGATAATAACGATTCGTAATAAGTTATGTATTCAAAAATATTAACTTTATCTTTAATACTACTGTGATCTCATGTCAATGGAATTAGGTAAAGTAAGAATTTATGTTATTAACAAGTAATAGAAAGAGGTTTTGCTACAAGTAATCGTTTTTTTGTATATTAAATAACCAAATATTCCATATGAAATATTTGACAAAATTGTGTGCACGTCCCTAATGCTTATCGTGCCCTACAATAAGAAATGCTTACGATGTGACTTTAAAGGTCAATTGTTACCAAGTGCGAGAAAAAATAGTTCGCTTTCATCACAACTGATCACTAATGTTTTAGTCTACTGAAGTAAAGCCACGCCAAAATTTCTACCATAGCACGAATGGGCAACGGTAGAATGGAGGTACCACGTTCTCACAGAAGACCAGCGTGAATAGGAAATATCATACTTTAGAGTTTCGTCTGGCCAGTGTGGTAACCATAGGGTTTTTAAAGGTGGTCCCGCTATCCCTAAGGCCTCAGGTGTTATAGATGTCCATGGGCGGCAGTTCACTTAACATCACATGATCCGACTGCGCTCTTGACAAGTTTTCACATAAAAAAAATTGAGGAATAATTTTTCTTTTATCATGTATCGGTATTGGGTCTTCTGTTAATAGTGTCCAAGGATCTACCGCGTGCCCGAAATGGAATAACGTGGCCGAGCAAGCGTTTTGTTGCATTCCTAGATAATGTTTCAGCGTTTACCGCTGCACGGTTAGCTCCAGGGCGACGCCGGCGGCGCGTATAGCGTCCTGCGCCTCTTGGTGCCTCAAATTGTACACGTCGGTGCTATTGACGCGGATGAGAGCGTCGCCAGCTTGCAGGCCCGCGCGCTCCGCGGCGCTCCCGCCGTTCACCTGAAATCGAATCGGCAGGTTGATCGGTAAAACATAGCAGATTAATGTTCTAAAACTTAGAGACAAAATAAGAAACTACGACATAAGAGATGACGTCCGACGACTCCGTGGCGCATTCGCCAAGGTATCGTTTTCGGCTATCTATCGTCGTGGGTTCGATTCTCACACGGGACAACTATTTGTGGGAACCACGGATAGTTGTTTCGCATCTGGGTGTTTGTCCGCATTAAGTTTATGTTTGTAAAACGTCATTTATATCAACTACGTTTAATGTAACGTAGTTGATATAAATGACTTGCTTATACATTTCGCTCCGTTATTAGAAATATAATGAAAACTACATATTATTTCGGTGACTTTTATGCAATTAACAAAATACATGCCATTATTACAACACACACAAAAAATTTGGGCGAAATGCAAGTGAAGGTAATATAAACGCGTTAAAACCGATTTTTAATTTGCCAATCATTGAGATTAAGGTCTTTTCATGGTCAGTTCCGGATACACTCTGTTGCATACGCGCATTTTGTAATGAATAAATTAACTCATTTCTTTAAGGAAATCTGAAAGTTGTCATAATTCCGAAAGTAACTCACGAGGCGCCATACCAGCTTTTTCGGTCTTCTGTTCTGATTCATCCTTTTTTAAAGGGCCAGTCGTGCATTCCCCACACTCCTTTTTTATTAAACTTTATAGTCGTAATCTACTAAAATTCGAATAAATAAAGAAAATATACATCGGGTAATAAAATTGTGTATTTGTCAACTCGTGTTTTCTCGGCAGCACGAATAACTAAAATAAATCTCACAATTTTGGTAATTCAGTTGTTAATACTTTGAATTGTATTCGCTTATTGGTTAAGAAAGACCGTGAATGTAAAGATAGTACGCCCAAGTAGATAAATTTAAACTTCGTCTTTATTTGGCCTGCATACGAACCGGTTACCAGGTGATCACTATGTTATGTGGTCATTATTTCGTTACACTAGCACGTGGCACGTTATGCGATGATAAGGAATTTAAAATTTGCAAGAACAATAGTTTTCACACCGGTCTTTTCAAGTATGCGTCACCTGCCGTTTTCCCCTGGGGTGGCCGCAAAAGGGCTTCAAGTTTAAGAAAGGGTCTTTTTTATTTCCTCCAGGCAACTATGAAGTATGCAGCATAATTTACGTCTACCTATAAATTAGTCGTGTTTATTTGCTGCATCGTAAGGAATCTATTAGGTTGACAAACTATTAAAGATTTGTAAAAATATTTTCAACGGACAATAAAAAAGTAGCAGCTTCTCAATTTGGTCGTATATTTAATTTTGATGTTTGATACCACCGTCATTTATGAACCGATTTTATATATTCCTTTTAAAGTGCGTTCGGTTTATCTGCCATTTACCAAATGGACCACCCAATCACAGGTTAATTTCATCGATATTGGACCTTTGACTTCGGGCATAAAACAGGGAACTCCTCAAAATCAAATCGAAAACGTTTAGAGAGTCTTATAGTTTGAATCAGGTTTTTTTGTGAATATTTGTAATAAAATACCAAATATTCTTCACAAATGCCACACCACTTCACCACCGAGCTATTTAAATACCTAGAAGATAGGACAAATGGCCACGCATTGTCGTCATTGATGCGGTTATAATTAGTTGGCAATTACAAATAACAATGCTTTAAATGGATATGATTCATGTTTTCCCATCTGTAACTAATATTTTCCTGTTACATGTTAACTAAATTTTGCACAATTCGAAAAACAATTATTTAAAAAAATACATTTTGTTACGGCATTGTCCAATTTAACTTTTTTAAGTTTTATTTTATAAAGAGCCTTAAAATAAGGGGGGAGGGGGTTAAATGACGGACACGAGACAGTCGCATAAAATTATAATGTCGATAAATCTGAAACGGCTTGCACGCGTGTTCTTTCAATTAAGCGAGGAGAAATCAATTACGCAGGAAGGTCGTCCGGGGTAAAAAAAAGCAAGTATCTATAGGCACGCTGCATACCTAGGTATCCTGGATTCGATACGGCATCCGATTCCTAGACGAGGCGTAAGCGTATTTTAGTACGGAATGCGAGGCGAGGGGCGGAAGGAAGCGGCGCTGACGTCACGATGAGATCAGCGCTCGCAACCCGTCTGGACTGGACCGCATCGCGCGCAAAGGCGACTTTTTTCGCTCTTGCGCGCAAAAAGCTGCTCACACGACGCTCCACCACGTTGGAATTTCTCGTTTCGTAATACGTTTGCGTTCAGTATCGATAATTGCATTCTAGTGTTTTGACGACATACATGGCCTTGTCTTTTTTCGCTGTAATTTTATGCGAACTAATACATATTTATTCCTAAGAGACATTTGGACTGATTTCATGATAATTCGTCAACATTAGATCACGACTGTGACTTTAACAATATATATAAATAGATAGCACCACTAACTTCTTAAATTTCATTTAAAGCTATATTAAGAACGATATTTAAGAACATTAGGCATGTATAAATCATATTAAAAATAAAAATATCGTTCAGACAATTGGTGTCGATGACATTTTTATTTCAAAGTTTTTCGTTTAATTTTATTAGGATAAACCTTCGGAAAATTTATTCACGAGGTTAAGGCGAGGTCGGCATGTGAGACTGAAAAACATTGAGGTAAATAAAGGTGAAATTTTAAAACAGATGTTGTCAGTATAATTTAAAATTTTTAAATCAATGGCAAGAAGACCAAATTAACTCATTTTAATTACATAAAAAACAATGCATAAAATATAATAATATAATTATAATGCCGTCGTATTAGAAAATGTTTAATTATTCGCTGATATTTGATAAAAGTTTGCCCAGTATTTTGAGCTTATTTCCCATCTTTTAAGTAGTAAAAAGACTAAACAAGAATTCGTTACACTGCAAGCAGTAAGAAACAACCTCCTTCCGACTGTCGAGTCGTTGGCAATGACCTCGCCTAGTCTACCCTTCGCCAAAGACTGAGAAAAATAGACGTGGAATTAGGTTACATTATCGCGTTCATTTATTTCCGCCGAATACGACAAATATCTGCTGTTGTTTTCGAATACACCTTGCAACAATTAATAAATAAGAAATTTGGTTTTCAAGTACTTTAATAAAATTGCTTACAGTATTAACAATATTTTCAATATCTTTATTAGAATTATCGTTCATATTACACATAAGCATTAAAAACTAATATTGCGATATTAGCTCCTACTGAATATACTAGCACACTAGGAAAGTTAGAAAGGGAGAGGAAGAAAGAGCTGGCTATCCTGTCTAATCCAGTCTATTACCTGTTCTTAGAAGTAATGTCTAGAAACTTTTCGCTAAATAATTCTCCATTGTTTCTGCGTCTCTATATATTTTATCTATTCGCTTGATTATACTGGATTTAGTCTGTGGCATCGCCCTTAATGCGGTTGGCGCTCGCGCACGCCGTATATGGCAGCAGAAATACAAGAACGGGAGATTACATGCGGTGGCACTCTGTTGGCGCGAGGTCATAACACATTACGTTTCGGCCGTCTACGGGCCGACCTACGTACTCAAATGAATAGACCCGAAATTCAAATTAGGGTCAAACACCCTCAATATTTTTAACGTTCTGTGATACTGATCGTAGCAAAGACAATTCTCACTCTTTTTATAACATTAAACTTAAGAACACTATCCTATAAATAATCCCTTACATATTCATGTTTCATATAAAGATCTTGTACGAACGATAACGCTACTATGTATCAGGCTTGATCTTTATAATATCTGATGGCCATTGAAAATTAGAGTTATTTGCTAACTATTTTATACCGCAATCCAAATACGGGTGACCCAAAATCCAATAACAATTTTATGTTGTGACGTGGTAATATAAACAAAACGAAATTACTTTACCTTATTCTTATCTTCTATATATTCTTTTGTCCTTTAATGATGAAAATAAGAATAATATTAAATAGCGTTGTTAATAAACTTCTTCTTTATTAATATTAAATTGTTTTTTTAAACGAACGCAAAAAATCTATCGGAAGGCCAGATATATACTTAACCTACTTTTTGGATTTCAATAAGCCATTGAATTTACATGATTGTCGAGGTAATTGGTTGACTTATTCGACATTGCCTTTGTGCAATTAATGTCGATAACTGTTTGATAGCGCTGTATTATCGGTCTCTTTGTTTATTTGGTTAATATTTTTCGTATTCATGAAATCACGGCACGGCACTAAAATTTTTTCATAAAGCTCTCGATAATCTTTCTTTGTTTCGTGATTTTAAGAAGGAACCAAATCTGGAAATTTCCCCATTAACTTATAAAAATATTTACTTCACTGCCTAAAACAATACATTGGGGTTTTACCGGAGTCAACATCAAGCGAGCTGCTAATACTTTTCAAAGCGAACAATAGCAGGTACAAGTTCCAGCTCAAATTCTGTTTTCCCTCTTTTAGTTACGGGCACTACGTGGTAAATTGAAAGAATTAACGATTTCTCGGACAGTGATAAAATTTAGAGAATTACTGGACCCTTTGTTCTTTATAGAACTATTACAACTACAACGCGATAAATCCGTAAAATTAGTTTCATTTATAATGTGTAATCGCGTAAATACAAGAAATTATTACGATTCTCGAGTTAAATTTGTGCCGTAACTAGAGGGTTATAGGACTAGGCGTATTCTATTTGCTACATGCACTATAAATTTCTCGCAACCCTCGAGACAGTTAATATTAATGTAACACAGGCGCTTATATATTATCTCGGAGACTCGGCCCGGTATTTGATACCTACGTAGCCGAATAATTAGAAAATACCGACGGCGATAATCCACGGAGCGCTGTCGCCGCTCGCCGTGCCAGTTTCAAAACAAATCCTTGCCAGTACGTGACTCAGATTGTGTTCCAAACAAGAAACCCGTCCAGTTACGCAACGACTAGTGCCCGGTCCCGGCTCCGCGCGATTCCGGTCAACAAGAGTGAATCTGGTAATACGGCCCAGTATAACTGGACGCTTTGCTTTAATTATCCTCGCCACCACTGTATGACACATTTATGATCCACTCCTAGCATAGTTTAAATCGATATACCATATATACAATGTAAATATTTGAAATACGTAATTTGAAGATTCGACTAGTTGTTTTAATGACAACTTTCCAATTCAAACTAATATTACTTCCCAAAGATTTTCCGTCGGTGCGGAATATTATATTACAATTAATGATTGACACATAAATTAAATATTCTTTTTATTTATTTGACTTAATAAGGTCCCCTGCCAGGTGGACCGATGACCTGAGAAAGTAGCTGCTAGTGGCTAGATGAGGAAAGCGGAAGATCGTACTCTGTGGCGTACTCTTGGGGAGCCCTATGTCCAGCAGTGGAGTGCAAAAGGCTGATTGGATTGGATTGGATTGGACTTAATAAGGTAAACGTCGGCATCTATTCACAACCTGCTTGGATTCCAAGATATTTATATTTTTGTTGAAGACACACACCACAAAGAAAGCGATGATCATATTAAAACTGTTTTACTTTTCAAAAAACCTCTAAAAGTAAAAAAATAAACAATGGAGACAGATAATTTCATTTATTCAAAAGTATCTACTTATCAAGTTTTATAATGTAACTAACAATAAAGACTTCCTAGTAAGAGTAATGTTAACAAAAACTCTTATAAAATAAATCATTAAAGTGTTTACAGATACTTAACTGGCATTTGCTTATTTTCAGGTCAATATATTATTACCATTCAGTACCTGATTAGTGATGACTGAAAGGAAATGGTCATTCGGTTATAAAATACATATCGAATATAACTCGTTGAAAACTACGTTTCTTAACTATTTTGCATTGCAATTTCCGAAACGGAAATTGTTATGAATAATGGATGACTGGATTTGATATTGTTTGGCTATAACTTTTGGCTATAATATTGGCAATAAAAGTAAACGTTGGTACCTGTCATTGAAAAAGGACATAATTAGGAGACGACTAGTCGGCATATATTCAATGGGTTGCAAGTTGAATTTTTCCAATTAATGATCTGAAATATAAAGTAGTTTTAAACAATTTGGCTAATTATAATTTATTGGAAACCGAAAGCGCTCAAAAAGAAAAACGTGCAACCTCCACCAGTGTAGGTCGCGTCTACGGTACAAGGTATCTATCACTGTTTCTTAAAAGAAATTTATCCTGCGTTATTGAGTCAAAGCCTTTTGCTCAAAAAACATAATTGGTTGAAGCGAGAAAAACGCAAACGACCGATCTGGTATTCTTCCTTTCTTCCGCGTTTGGTACGTTGATATGGTGGTCCTATCGGAATATGCAACAATCTGGCGGTACATGGAAATTGGAACTTTTTTGAAAAAAACATTGCCCTTACTTCGGGATATTATTATCCTGTGTTGTAAGGACGTTTTACAAACATAAATTTCACGTGGACAAACACACAGATGCGAAACAACTATCTGCGGGTCGCAAAAATAGTTGTCCCGTGTGAGAATCGAACCCACAACCCCCGACGCCGAAGCCAATACCTTGGCAACTGCGCCACAGAGTCATCAATTTGGTTGCTAATGCTAATGCTTGGTTAATGCTAGTAAGAATTGTTTCGGGCGTACTTTGCTAAAATTAAAAGTATATTTTACCGTTTTCAAAAACAAACATTAACAAGTAAAAATACTTCAATTTGTTAAGTTTCTTAAAAACACTGTAAAGACAAACTACGTCCGATGGTAAAACAATGTGTAAATAGTGCAGGAAGGTGTTTAGACACTGATGATTACGACATTACTGATGGATAACATCTAAACATAGAAATGTTTAGATGTTATCTATCAGTAATGACATAAACGACACAAGCTTTATCCTAATTAGGCATTGGTATTACTTCTCACCATTTATAAAGTACCACTAATCCGTCGTCCGCGACTTTAAAAGTTGTCAACATCTACTCGTGCAGTAATAACATTATCAATCATTTATAACGTATTTGTTTAATTTAAGTCATAGTTATTATACTAATATTAATAAAACAATTTGATTGAAAAATTATTTAACGTCTTTGGTGATTACGATATACATCACGTAAATAACACCGATTATACTATTTTCTCCTTTATTAGAGCCGAATGAAAGACATTAAAAGTTTTTTTTATGTGAAAAGTGTAAGCGAGCAAGAGGTTCACTTGAAATGAAGTGATTACACATGGACATCAAACAACACCTGAGGGCTTCAGATGCGTTGACACTCTTTAAAGAAGTGGTCTCCGTTTCACAAAAACCAAACTCAGCCGACGAAACGCGAAAGTATAAAAACTACTAAAATAAAAATACTTCTGTGAGACCGTGGTACTTCCCCGGATGTCTGCCCATTCGTGCATCAGCAGAAGCTGATGCGTGGCCCTGCCAAAATAAAAAGAAGTGACGAAGCATCTCTATTCCATGAATACGTAAACACTAAATAGCTGAAGTATTAACAGTACGCACGTATTATTTAAGCTTTTGTTACCAAAATCATAATTCAACATTAGCATAGCATAACTTGGATATACACACAACATAACTTTGATTTGACGAGATTTCTTTTATATTAAATTGTTCCAGCCCAATAAGAAGGAAGTTGAAATAATCTAAAAGTTACACGACCATTTAAGCCATGAAATTATAACTCCGCATCCATTGAGATCCGGGAATTAAAAGTTCAGTGACATTGAGGACGCGGTTTCGCAGTTGTTGCGACTACATCGTGTACAATTTTTTGTACACATCTGTTTAGTATGACGTCCATTGGATATACGGCAACGAGATCTATCGTCAATAACTCAATATCACAAAAGTACCGTTGAGGCCTCGGGATCGTAACCATTACTGTTGTTATTTTGACATTATTAAAAGTCTCGACCGATATGCGGTATGTACAGATGACATATTCTGAGAGGTAGTGCTGTACCAACAGCCGGCAGGTGTACTAAACATATTCCTCCTCCAAAGGTCACGCGAGTAACTAGCAAGGAATAAGTTTAACCGCTTTTTACCTCGAACACGCTTATACTAACAGTACAAATATTTAAACTTACTTTTGATGATACCAATTATATATTTAAATTTCCATCAACAAAGATAAATAATTAAATTATCATTCATTACTCTGAATCAATATCAATGTTGTTCCCTACATAATTTTATTTAAACATAAAATATATTAATATTAGACCTTTGTGTTACATAGAGGTCAATTATCGAAAGCATTTCGATAGGTCTTTGTGTGTGTATGGTGACGAGTGTCGAAACTACTTTAACGAGGACAGTTAACAGTTAATGAGAGGTAAAAGCTCCTTGGATAACTAATCACCTATTTGAACACGGCAAACAGATAACAAACGACAAACGCACAATTGAGGATACTAAAAAAGCTCAAAGTGTTTTAGACGGCATATACAAGTGATGTAGACGGCAAACGCTTTGTTTATCCTTTAGTAAATGTATGATTTATGCGAAAAGTTACTAGGAAATCATAAGTGGCAATCTATTTCGGTTCATCATTTACGTCATTAAATATTCGCAATGCTATTTTGAATGGCTATTTTTACAAGCAAAGTTATGTCTGCTAATATCTAACATGGTATCTTTACCACGCGTGAGCGATGCTTTTTTACGCTTCATGTTTTTAGACTGTGGTGCTTTATGTCGCTTTAATGGTTAATTTTTATAATATTTGCTTAAATAAAATTTATGTCAGTAATAAACGCGGTGTGGCCAATTATTTAATGTCTGAAAACAAGGCAATAAATTCGATAATTATAATAAAAAAATATTAACTTACCTTCTGAACAACGAGAGGCGTTCCAAAATCTTTCCCGCCTTGTAGCCGGAAGCCTAACGGCTGCTGATCGGACTTATTCAGTCGCACAGTTATTAACTGTGCCATCTGTCAAAAGAAAATAAAATACATTACAACATTTAAAAGCATATTAGCGTTTGCACCGAGCTGTAAAGTTGAAAGGCTTATTTTTCTACAAACTAAAGATATACACTAAGTTACTTAATTACCACGGCTTATACAATAAACGTAATCATATGCGTGGTTAATAGTATATAGTTTAAAAGAAAGAATGAATGACGACTTCTTCTTTACCCCCAACTACTTATATTTGTAATCCCCCAACTACTTATGTTTGTCGAATATACCTCAATGTAAGAAGACTAAAGTCTTCAATCAATGTGTGTTGCCAACATGATCTACGGAACCGAGACGTGGTCCTTCACTGCTGGCCATATGAGGAAGCTCAAAGTCGCTTAGCGAGCTATGGAGCGGGCTATGCTCGGTATTTCTCTGCGTGATAGAGTTCGTAACGAAGACATCCGCAGTAGAACCAAGATTACCGATATAGCTCTGAGAATTAGCAAGCTGAAGTGGCGATGGGCCGGCCATAAGCTCGTAGAACTTATAACCGTTGGGGAAGAAAGGTTCTCGAGTGGCAGCCTCTCTGGCCATCGCAGTGTGGGACGACCCCCCTGACGACTAGATGGAGTGACAACCTGTGCAAATGTGCGGGAAGTCGATGGATGCAGGTGGCTCAGGATCGTACTTCATGGCAGTCTGTGGGAGAGGCCTATGTTCAGCAGTGGACTCAAACAGGCTGAAATGATGATGATGACTTATATTTGTTAAAGTTTATTTTTATAGATGTCCTCGCTGTATAGGCATAACTAAGAACAAAAATTGTTCTCGAGTTTACTTCTAACCCGTGACCATGGACTCTATAAAGAGTTCGAAACATCAAAAATTAAAAACAAAATTTAACGCTGTAAAAATTCGTAAATGAGTTTTACTGAACAATGAAAATATTGATATATTGTAAGAACCGTACCTCGGTTTTTACAATTTATGAATATTTTTTTACCAACCCCTTACCCAAGTTCCTATTTTAATGTGTATTTGAATGAGATACAATCTTAAATACATATTTCGGTAGCTGACTTTCGCCATTGAGAAGTATGGCAAAGAAAACATAATGGAATTGTGCAATAATAATCGGAAAGGTAAGCATTAAACGCGATGGGCCAAGCATTAGGCCTGGCGTGGCATTTGATTGACCCAATTGAAAATTTATTTTCTCTCAGGCGCAATTCCGCTGACCGCACTCGGCGGGTATTCGGTCCGTGCGATCTATTTTATCATCGTCGAAGATCTTTGCGCGAATCAATAGACATTAGTGAAAGGAGGCTGAGAGCCGAACTTTCGTTTATTTGTACAAGGAATAAACAATAATCCAATCATTTATCTATTTCGCAGAGTTTCTCTTTTAGTTATAGGTACCTCATTACAAAATAACATGTGTACAAAACTATTTTTAGCGCAACTACTTCCATACACTTTTTTTGCATCAGTGTTTTTGTGAGTTTTACACTCGTTTTTGTTTTTACATCAGTGAAGTCCACCACAGATGCGACGGGTACATAGGCGGTAGCACAGCGATGAAGCCGTAGTCCAATCCTTTGCAAACATCCACCATATTAATATGGTAATAAAAAGGCCTTTGGCGCAGTTATTATTGAACGTTATTGAATAATTAGTCTTACTGTTCAAAAAATTCACCAACATTTGACTGTAGCAATAAACGATATTTTTTTCCCTAATTGTATTTGTTAATATCGTTCCAGTTATATTATTTTGGCTTAGTAAACAGGTATCGAAACATAGTTTATAATTGCATTGAAACAAATTTTATCATCCTTGTTATTAGTCTGGGCGCCCTGTCGTGAGTTCGATTCTCATACGGGAACATTACTTGTATGACTTAAAGATAATCGTTACGGTTCTGGGTGTTCATTCCCAGGGAGCGTTTAGGTCAATTTGTCGGCTGGTTATAAAATCTAACCAACGGAAAATAATCGATTGCAAGGGTAAATTCAACTATATATTTTAATAATAAATTTAAATAATAAAATAAATTTTTATGAAAAATAAGCGCTAAAGGCCGTTTATCCTAACCTAGTGGTCAGATATTATGGAGACAGGGTAACTCAAGGCAGGTTAAGTTATTAAACTCCTATTTATACCTCTTTTTCATAAAATCCTTTATCTAAAAATCATCACATAATTGAATTCATTAACGCGCAGGAGTACGTAAAGCAAGCAGGTAGGTAATGTGTATACATTAAAAAGAGTCTTGCCTTGAGCTTTTGCAAACTGGCATTCCAGGTCTGCCCGAGGAATCAACATAACAAAGGTCGAGATCTCAAGGCGCTGTTGAACTGACAATCTTTACACCACTGAATCACAATAAAAAGCTAAATGACTAAAGAACTCGTTTGTTGTTAATGAGATGCCATTCATTCGCTTTTTTCGTAAAGAGGCACTGTTCGGTTATCACGATTAAGGCTTTAAATGTCTTTATCATCAATGGAATATTTAAAGAGAAAAGCATAATATTTTACAACGATATGCTTAACAATGGATTCTATAAGTTGGCAGTTTTTATTAATATTCTTACTTGTGGCTTACTTAACACAAGTACATTCAGGGTTACATTAGAAGAAGGCAAAACGAAAAATCGACATGCAAAGCCCTGCGCCTTGCTCGCTGAGTAGGAAAAATGCACCTTGAGCCTAAGATTTAAATAACATCGCGATGTTACGACGTTATTATTGTCAAGAGGCAGCCATCACTTCTTACTTTTTAACGATTTGTTTTTCTATTATCGTGGCAGACGCTGCCGTGAGACCACAATGTCATCTTCAAGCCTTTGTTCATGATTAAAAGTTTTTACGTGTGGGTGACTTATCTTAGGAATGAAATCTATTGTAATTATATGGCTTCTCGGTAGACTGTATTTAACGTCGTAAGCTATACTACAAACATTCCCCCATTACATAAAGATTTTGAAAAAGTAAATTCATTATAACAATATTTTATGACATTAATTGGCAATGGAGCGTAGCTTCATCTGTCAAACGGTCTTGTCTCTTGGAAGAACATTAACATTATCACATAAAACTGCTTAAAACGACAGACATGTAAAATTATTTTAAAAAAATAACATTGGAAGGAATAACATGATCTTTTTTACCTATTGGTAATTTTAACTGTTCAAATAGCAATTAAAAGGGCTTACCCTCACCCTTAGTTCAAGCGCCGGCTGTAGTCTTACAAGCAACGTAACGACTTGTAGGATTTCTTCGATACTTGACGACAGAAATGCAGCGTTAATTTATATACTGATGGTAGGTACTATGATTACGGGATATAAATGTTATTAAAAATTCTTATTATTATTACATGCCACGAGTAATTTATATTTTAAATTACTCGTCATTAGTTTACCGCAAAATTACTCACTTGACGAGTGAATTTTTACCACGATCATAGAAAGATTTATGGTAATTTATCGGGCATTGTATTGTTTTTCGGTTTCAGTATCGTGCCCAGACAAAACAATCATATTTAAGAGTACGTTGGTGTTATTTCAATTACTTCGATTTTTACCGGATCGTTACTCACGCGCGAATAGGTATAGGTGACGTCAAACGCATGAGTAACCGCAAGACCTCGCGCACGGTGTCAGTCAGAAAACTGATTACTTCGGTATTTGGGTGACTGAGATTTCTTCGGAAGAGGCAGCTATGTTCATTGTATTAATGTGCATATTCAAATACTAAACGGTATACTTAATTTCTTGTTGATGGATACTGTTAGCTTTGTTCTTTTGTTTAAAATCGACAGTTGAAATTTTCACAGATGGTGTATTTCTGTTGCCGCTATAACAACAAATAGATACTGAAAATCAGAAAAAAAATATTTAAATGGGGCTCCCATACAACAGACATGATTTTTTTGCCGTTTTTATATATAATTGTACGGAACCCTTCGCGAGCGTGTAACACTCGCATTTGGCCGGTTTTTAATTTTCTGGTCAGCCTAGATTACAAAATATTTTTAAAGCTGCTGTGTATTTGTTCCGATTTGCACTTTTATTGATAAACAAGGTTATTGACAGCAAGGATATTTGCCTAAAAAGGTGTAATAATGTGAAACGAAGACTCAGTCATGACTTTGAGAAAAAAAACATGGTATAGTTAGTGTCATTACCGCTACCGCGCATTCTCATTCACATTATTTGAACATGAAAGGTCACGTACCGAGACACTCGTCTTCGGAAATGAACATTAACAAACTCTCAAGGTTAGTAACATTTCACGTGCTTATTTACGAACTATATGTGCAGGAATGTCAATATACATACGAGGTGTTGGCAAAAGAACCAAAGTTAATTTAAAGTCGACTTCGGCACTCCCGAATTAGATTTTTGGCATGATTATTTTTCGTACAGTCAACAACAAGACGGGGAAAGACAAATTTATTGAAATTAAATTATGCATTGACATGTGAGTGCGAAATTAAACATTCACAACTGTGTATTTGCGGTGTAGCGACTAGCGAGAACTTGCGGGATGCGTGGGAGCTGCTCCGCTGTGTAAATATGGACCGTTAGAATCCGGATCACACGCTGAACTGATAAGCCACCAAGCGACAAAGAAAGGTTTTTTGTTTCCTCGACTACATGGTATGCGACGCTGATGTCATTGTTAGTGTTGTAATTGCAAAATACATTGACGGAGCATCGTGTTTGAGCAGCTGCGTCCTTCTGAGGTCACGTCGCGCCGTCGTCGACTGTCCTATCGCCGCTTGTAAGACTTGGTTTTAACCATTCGACTCGAAAGCCACCAAGACCCACTGCGTCCAGGCCACGGGTCTGCACAGTGGGCTGCGTACGAAACGAACGCATATCGAATGCCGGAGTCCGGTCTGTGTCGCAAGCTTCGGCGTCAGTTGCATTAAAATATTCAAAGCTTATGCGGCTCGGCGCCATCGAAATTACAACGCTTTGTTCGACGTCGGTCTGTTGTGGGCTGCGAAAGACAACT